GTAGTGGAGTTCTGTGTTCATAGCCTCGGCTTTCTATCCTGGTGAAGACTAGTCGTCTGCCGGGTAGTTGGACTGAGAGGGCTTGGTCAGCTTAAGAGATTCCAAGCTACTGTCAGATCTTCCGCAGTATAATCAGCAGTAAAGCAACCAAAAGTAATTACAATTGGAACCTAAATAAGGAGCTAGGGGGATTCATTCCCGAGTGGCTCTTCCTTTGCTTCAGAAAACCGAACCATTTTCTGCTTCTTACTGCTTTTACTTAAATCAACAATCACTTGACTTAGTTGGCTAGATAATAGATATTCACGGAGTAGGCAGTAGATCTAGACCCCGGGTTGACATTAGAACTTGCCTGTTACTGCATTTCCGGACTGCGATTACACTTGGTCGCAGTTTGGTGTTGTGTTTTAGCCTGTCACCTTATCAGTTTGCTTGGACGGTACCCAGTGTAGGCCCTCAAAGTAATCCACCAAAACCGTTCTCTCTCTTTCCTCTCCCTTCTCTTAACTCGTCGGTGCGACCAAGAATCGAAGAACTGACAAGCACTCCGACGACTATGATTCGACTTATTCTCCTCAACACAACGTCGAGCAACTCGGTGAGGAACACAACGTCTTTAGGTCTCTTCAGTGACGAAAACCTGGTGTTCCGAAACACCTTCTGGTGATTCTCAAAGTTACATCTCCAGATCTGCTTATTCCAACAGTAGCCAGTAGGCACTGCATCAGCAAAACTGACAAATCTGAGCAGAGAATGTGAAATATCTGGTTGTATAAATTATTTGTATATAATATTGAATAGTTTGCTTCCACAGATCACCAGTTCTATCGATTCTGCCATCTTTGTAGGTTTAAGTTGCAGTTGGAACAACAAAGATGATGGTGGCCACGAAGATCAGGTAGTTTTAGGTGGTGAAATCCCGAAGCTATGCGGCTTGGAATTCCGCCGGTTTATTTCTCTTTTCTATTTAATTTATTCTTGTCTAGATCTGCGGGTTCCAGTGAGCATTCAATATTTTCTTCTTTTATTTTTCTCTGCTCTTTGTGCACTGTGATTCCAGTCTCTTTCCCCTTCAACTTGCAGATCTGCCGGACTTAACGAGGGTCCGCATGATCATTGCCGTGATGTCGTCATCGGCAGGGAGACGGAGACCAGAGACATAGATAAAGCTTATTCTCTCTCGCTCTCCTCGATGGGTCTGTACCTCTGTTTATCTATTACTCCTCTATCTACTCCCTATTATATAATCCAATTTTTATCTTTTCTAATCCATGTTGTTTGACACAATTGAGGGTGATCCTATGTTTTGGAGAGACAACGGTGTGAAGACGACGATTCGACGGATCACCACTTGGAAATTAAGTATACTTCGCTTCTCCGCTAACTCTTTCTAATGTTACATGATTTGCTATTTATCTGCTTCTTTACTTTTTCTTTTTTTTTAAATCACAGTGTGGTCATTGTTCTGATTCCTCTTTGTTGCGGTTTCTTCTTGCAGCTTCTCTTTATGATAGCTATCGGTGGTTTCTCCCTTTTTTCTAACAGAGGTTGCTACAATGCGGGGTCCATCTAAGTGAGGTAAAAGAGCTTTAGTTGATGTTCTATTGTCTTTTTTGGTTTCATCATTTGTATGTATGACTATTTTTAAATCCATGATGCCATCGTCTTTGTGACTTCACTGATGGTTTGGGAAATTCTGCAACTATTTGATTTAGCTGTTTTTCCTATAATTCCTATCCAACAAGCCTACCTTTAGAACCATGATTGTACCCTTGGAATAATATAATACAGTCCCCTTTGTTTCTCTTGCTACTTTGATCATGTAGGAGTTCCTTTACATCTAATGAGTTTTGGATGTTTTATTTACTGCTTGCTGTCATTGGTATCTTCTCATTCTCTTACTCTTTAACTACCTTTTCTTACGGTTTTTGGCAGCAGCAACAAGGTGAAGTATTTGGGATTTTCTTTTGTACCTTCTTATAATACAGTACAGTTCGTTCGTTTCATGATTCCCAGTTCGAACTCTATTGCTGAAGCAGTTCCATCGATGGAATGGCCGGTTGGAATAAAAAAAATTTATGTCCAGGTTCAAATTAAACTGTCATTGAAGAATCTTACCTTGCAACCTATATTAATTTAAGTCAGTTATTCTTGTTCATTGGTTTATCAATCTTACCTTGCAACTTATAATAAAAAACTTACTGTCACAATTAGAAGACGTGCTTGTTCCAGCAGGTTCAATAATCGGTAGGACTTCACACTTTTTTATCAAATCAATCATGAAGGTCATGGCTGATTTATACAAATCATCATCCAACGAAACCCTGTTGATCATTGATGCAGAAACAGCTCACATATTGAACAGACGAGACCGGTACTTCGCTGGACTATCAGTAGACGGAACTTTAAAACAAAAGTTCCCTCCAGTTTTTGCTGCTCTTGTCCACCGCTTCAAAATCAAATTACTAGGAATGTCCCGGAACTTCAGATTGCATGTTGTAGATCATAACATATCATATCCCTTCATTTGATGCTTACAGATCAAACCACTTGACTCCCACTTATGGCAGGAACACTTGATTTCACCATTATCAAAATCAACCTTCAAAAACCTACTATCTAACCTTGTAAGGTCATCCTCCAATATGAAGACATCAAACATTCCTACATGTCCTTCTGGTTCTATCTCCGTATTTGAAAAAAAATTATACGCAAGAGATTCCTTGTACTGATCCAGGAAAAACTTGAATATCTTCGGTGTATACACATTAGCAACTTGCTTCACAATAAAACTAGTAGAAAACCGAGAATCAGCCAACCTAGATATTACATAGTACTCTTCTTGTTCTTTAGTATCCCTCTTATTATCAAGCATCCTCTCAAAGTCGACAAAGAATCTAGTAACGCTAAGCTATGACTGCAAGTAATGTTGAATATTACTATTGCAGCACTCACTTAGCACTCTTCATTCCTGCACCAAAATAACAATTCACCCAGGCTGAAGACCACTTCTTCCTGACTTTGTAAATGCCCTGTAACCAACTGTGTCCCAAAGGTCCCTTCCTAGAAAAACACTTCTCAATCAGCTTCTTCCAATTATACTCAAAAGTCAAAATCATCCTCATCATCAGCATTATACATCAAATAACTAAGTTCACGAAGGAAATCAGAGTCACACAAACTTCCCATATTAACAACTGCATTCTGAGCAATATGTCATGTACACAGGCCATGAAAACAATATGGGAAAACAGACCTTATACAAGCAGCAATTGCAGCAACCTGATCAGTAAACATTGATGAGGGTCTCACACCTCCCATGCATTTCAAAACTATTCGATAAGTCATTCAAATGTTGCTGTTGTTTCATCATATAGAAGAGAAGCTACAAAGACAGTGAGTTGGTGATGATGGTTGAAACCAACAAACAAAGCTACAAAAACATAACAAAAAAAATGTGAGTGAAAACAATTCTACCTACACGTACCACATGGTAGAAGGTACAAATAACAATAACCACCTCGTACCATATTGTAAAGACTTCTGAGAACAAAACACCAATCCATACCAACCCATACAATATGGTACATACTTCTAACAACGCAAACACCACCTCATATATAACCATGATACATAATGATAAAAATAATCATACAAACTCACAAAGACAATAATAAACAATAAACTAGAAAACATACATAGTGGTCGATACTCTTTGTTAGTCCGGTAAGTAGTATAAAAACTAATTGAATCACCAAAATAATGATAATCCATCCGCATCTTCCCATTTGCCCAAAAAATAATAGCAATGTTCTCTTCAACATCAACCTCCACCTCATGAAAGAACCCAGGATCCAGCTATGCTTGACGTCTAAAGTATGCAAGCAATGTAGTCGCATAACCATACTCCATTAATAACGTCCTCACAGTTCACAGATGGTTCTAAGGTGATGCTCGCACTTTCTCTCTCCAAAAACACAATCATAGCTCGCGCAAAAGATTCGCAACGGATAAAGAAGGAAAGTAATTAATTTAAATAACGGACAAAAATGCCCCTGAGTATCCCCGCATCAATCGCAGCCACACGATGAGTCCGTCCCAGATCAACGGCTGCTAAGTGGTTACTGACGGGTGAGTAACAAACCTATCCTAAGTCGTGTCAACCCATTGCCATCCCTAGTCTCCCCTCTTTCCTTGCTCCACTCATTTTGGAGCGATGACAAAAGACTCCCGAACCAGGGGCGGACTTAGTAAGGGCCAGGGTGTGTCGTTCGACACACCCTCGCCCGGAAATTTTGTGAATAACCTATATATTTTTTGTGCAATTTTTTTTTTAATTCGGGGCTTCCGACACACCTCAAATAATTATGAGCGACACACCTTCATTATACGAGAATGTTTTTCTTGTTTTAAAGTTTTTTATCTTAATTAGTAATCAATAATAAGTAAAATCAAATAAATATGTTTGTTTTAAAGTAACGCACACCACAACCCAACAATGAAAAAAATATACATACCCCCATCCTTTGAAACTTTTCGTTTCCACGCTTGACCCTTCTTTTATTGAAAATAAAAAACTCATATTTACCTCATTTTAGTTTCTAATTACCGAGACCCATTGCCACATCCCCTTTTTTTATCCTTTAGTTTACTTGCTCTTGAAGTTGGTGTTGACTTTCTTGTTGCATTTGCAAGGTGCGAAAGAGCATTTTCAGCAATGAAGATAATCAAAATCAAGAATGAACTTCGAAAACGGTTGAGTGACCAATTTATGAATGATTTTTCAATTGTGTATATCGAAAAGGATTTGCTTCGCAACATAAATGATGAATGTATTTAACAGATAATTCAGGAAATTAAAAATCGTTGTAGTTCTTTGTAAACATGACATTATGAACTTTATGAATCAATTTCTATTTAATTTTAATTAATTTTTTTATTTAATTTTTTTATTATTTTATTTCATCGACGACATACCTCTCCGACAATTCTGGCTCCGCCCAACTTTGAACTTTCCCCTCTGTTGCCTTCAGTCGCCCAGCCATGGAGATAAATGATGTGGAAGAAGAGGAGTTCGAATTCTCTCGGAATTACTTTTTGGCGAAAGAGTTGGGCGGCTCCAGTTAGAAATCCGGCCGGAAGATCTCCGATACTGATCCCGTCGACGAGCAGGTAAAGGGTTTTTCTACCCCGGCCTAAATGATCCGGCTGCCGGAGGAGGTCAGGCCTCGGTGATCTACATTTTCTTCCTGAACACAGGAGCTAAGAACGGCCGCCAACAACCTTGAGCCGAAACATGAGAGAGAGGTTGCTTCACTTATGGAGAGCTATAAGGCGTCGTATCCTGAGTGGGTCTTTATGCTCAGGTAGGGCTTGCTTCTCTTTTACACCATTAATTATAAAAACTGCCAGTCAAAATGAAGCTTGATTCGAACTTTGGAGCAAGTTTTTTCATCCCATTTCATCCAGCATGGCATTTGTAGTGGTTTTTGCCTTTTCTTACTTGACCTCAAGGAGAAATGGGTTGTGCTTGTGCGTTGACTATTGATAGTTTTGATCCGGTTTACATAATATCTATGTTGGTTATTTTATGGGCAAGGTTGGTCCGGTACTGTTCTAATCGTAGCTTATGTTCTTCGTTATGGGCGCCTAGGAGCGGTTTTGGATTTCTTATGTATGGGTTTGGTTCCAAGAAGCCCTTGATTGAAGATTTTGCTTCCACCTCATTAACCGAGTATTCTGTTGTGGTGATCAATGGGTATATTCAGTCTATCAATCTGAAGCAGGTATGCTAACAAACACGCTTAATTTGCTGGCCTTATTTTTCCTATGCTAGTTCTTATGCTGCATTATGTTTGTCTCTTGAGTAAAAAGGTTGTGGTTGCCATAGCTGAAGTATGGTGGGATCAAATCAAGGCTAAGAGAAGGAACTCTCCTTTTCAAGCTCAAAACCATTTAACTCTCGATCTATTGACGATCTTCTTGCATTTATGGATGGGCAAGAGGCAGGCGGATGATGAAAAGTCCTTCGTCTGCCTCATTGTTAACAATATTGATGGGCCTGGCTTCAGAGAACCCGAAAGTCAGCTCCTTCTTGCACGAATCGCTTCTTGTATACATATCCGCATCATTGCCTCGATTGACCATGTCAATGCTCCACTGTGTAAGCCCCCCTGCTTCCTCTTTAGCCGCAGCAGAGAATCAAAAGACTTGAGAGCATAATTCAGTTCCTATTAATACAGATGAATTCTGGCGGTGTAGTTTACTTGTGCTTTTTGGCATGTTAGTATGGGACAAGAAGATGGTTCACACCCAGTTCAACTGGTACTGGTATCATGTCCCTACCTTTGCACCTTACATGGTTGAAGGAGTGTTCTTCCCTTTGATTCTCGCGCATAGCAGCACAGCGCAGAGTGCAAAAACAGCTGCAATAGTTTTACAGAGTTTGACTCCCAATGCCCAGAGTGTGTTCAGAGTGCTTGCGCAGTATCAGCTTTCTCATCCCGACGAAGAAGGCAAGTAATTCTGACCCCACTCGTGATGTTGAATGCTATAACAATGAAAAGCTACATAAATGGGGGTAAAGTGTGTAAGTGTGTAATTTGTGGACCTGAGATGGAATGAGAGAGCACTTATTCTTTAAATGTTCCTATTCAGCATATTTAATTGCTACTTTGAACTACTCTTTTATTGTTCATCGGGGATCCTAGAATGAAACTATTGATGCTATTGTCGTTGTATCGGATTAGCCATTTTATGACAAATGCATAGTACAATAATCAGATTAAACGGAGAAAATGAAAAATAATTATTCTTTTATTTTTAATTGGTCACATCACCTACTTTACCAAATTGGACGGTCAGTATCTAATAATGAAATGATATATAAAGTGAGTGACTCATTCGGAAGGAGAATTTTCAATGAGAAAATGTGAAAAAATTGATAAACATAATTACCGACGTATAATTTAGGCATTTAGCTTTAGCCAGATTTGAACAATTTAGGCATTTTCTTCCAAATGAAGCAATTTATTTTCCCCAAATAATATACAACCTTTCTTTCCTCCCTCCTAAATTCAGTCGAAAAGCGCAAGTATGAAAAATTAGTGAGGGAGACAAAAAACTGAGGGGACACCCAACCATCTCGAGGATACCCGATAAGATGGGATCTAGTGGGAACTTCAAGCCACACTTCAGGTAGTCTAAATAAAACACAAACCAACCCTCAGGACAACTGTCGACGCGCGCACTAGGATCGGAAAGGGCGTACTCCCAATCTGCAGGAAACCCTAGGCCGCGGATGTAGGACACAACCCGGTGCAACTGAATGCTAGGTCGCTTATCAGGATCAAGGAAACGAACAGAAGATGGGGGTGCATGGTCACCCCACATACCCCGCCACAATAGAATGCGGTAGTCCAGGTCGTCAGTTGCTCGAAAATTGCACGACTCAGGCTCAAGCTCCACACAGGACATGTCGCCCTCAGTAAGCGCCTCCGCTTGTGGATCTGACTTATCATCCTCAGCATCATTGGCGATCTCAGAAAGCCTCCACTTACCTTTCTATACACGGTCCAATCAACTAAGAATTCCTAAAGACCTGCGCTAGTGAAAAAAGTTTGAAGCAAAAAGGAGTGAACGCATTACTTACCCATCTTCCTGACCTTGCTAGTAGAAGCTTTAGCCTTCCCTTTAGAGGGAACGGAGGCGCCACCCATAGAAGGGGATGGTTGCGAATTATTCGATGCCATGGCAAGGAAAGAGAGGTGGGCATAAAAGTGAGTCTTGGAGGAGAACCAGGTGCAGCGCCTAAGCCAGTAACGCGCAGGCAAAAAACCGCTATCACGCCCCGTAACCTTATGTTGAAAGGCGCCTTAGACGCCTTGAAGCCGATAGAACTGCATCACAAATAAGCAATAAGGCGAGGAGAATAAAGCACCACTCGAACAAGGAAACAAACAAACCTCACCTGGTAATTGCTTTCGAGCGAAGGAGGGGACGACACACGGAGTTTCCCGAAGAAAGTAACCTAATCGAGAAAACAAGCAACAAAGAACAAGGGGCAAGAAATACGTTAACATAGAGCAATGCTCGAAGAAAATGAGAAAGGTTTAACAAAGTATGGCACCTAATAAGAGCTCGGAGAGTGACGCCCAATAACAAGAAAGAATTCGGCAAAGCAGGGTAGCTCCTAGCAAACGAAGAATCAAAACACAAGATAAAATGCCGAGGGTGGAGCCTAAAGAGTGAGAAGCCAATCCTACCCGTTGCAATCTCAGAAGGTTCCTATCAAGTAGAAAGGATGACGCCTGAAAAAGAGAACAATAAAATGAAAGCACGAAGGCGTCGCCCCCAATCAAAAAACAAAACACACGAAGGCGCCTCCCCCAATTTGTAAACCAACAGGGTATGGCGCCTAAGAAGCACAGCGAAGCCGGAAGAATCAAAACACACCTGTTGCAACCTCCGAAGGCGCCTAGCGAATGGGAAGAATGGTACCTGAAAAGGAAAACCAACAATTGAGTAACGAAGACGCGGAGGTGCCGCCCCCGATTAAAAACAAGGCATACGACGGCGCCGCCCCTAATTCAAAAACCTGCAAAAGGTGGCGCCTAAGAAGGAAGAGGTGAAACTCACCCACACAAGCTCCGAAGGCGCCTAGCGAATGGGAAGAGTGACCTAAAAAAGAACCAACATTGAGTAATGAAGGGTGGCGCCTACAAAACCAACAATGAGTAAGCAAGGCACACGACGGCGCCACCCCAAGTCTAAAAACCTACAAGAGGGGGCGCCTAAGGAGAAAGAAGGGTGGCGCCTACAAAAAAATTGAGTGCAAAAAGGGTTACCTGTGTCGCCGGGGGGCGGCGCCTACCGAAGAGAGCACTTAAAGAGAAGCGCCAAAATGGAGGAGACTCAGGAGAGCTGTCGAGTTAAGAAGGGGGAAGGGGGAAAATGAGAAGGATAAGGTGTTTAAATAGGGTGAGTAGAGAAAGAGGCGCACAGTTTCCGAAGCGGGCCGCCCCCAAAGCCCAATCTACCACCACCTCCTCCTAAAATTGCCTACCCCAAGCTTAGGAATGGGCTCGACCCAAAACCACCATAAGCAGTCTATTTGGGGTAGCGTTTTTGCTTCCTTCACTGAACTTTTAGAGTTTCGGGTTTGATGTTTTATTTCTTGTTATTATTATTATTATTTTATTTTCATTGTTTTCTTTTTTGGTATTCTTCCCGTAAAAGAGAATACTTGTTTGACGATGCCACAATACTTGCGCCATCGCCAAAATTGGCAATTGATAGGGTATCATAGCAATTTTTAGAGCAAAACCCTAGCTAATAGCATAAGGAAGAAAAAAGACAAAAAAGTATAAGAGGACAAGGCTAAAGGACAAGGCCAGACACCTGACATCAGCAAAGACAGAGTATAAGGGGACACCCTCTGCTAGAAAATACAATGTATAGTGTCAGAAGGTCCGAGGCGTCCGACCACAACATTTATAACTTGGCAGGCGCTTGGACCACTACCTAACCCTCAGATGTGTATAATAGGAGTTCTTTCCTCATAAATGACAATCTATATACTCTTTACTCTAACTTCTCCCAACTTTCTCTCTATACACTTCTCTTTTCCCACGTCTACTGAGGCGGGGCGCCTATTTCCTCAAGGTCATGTCTGACGCCCCAAACCCCCTAAACCCGAGCGACCTCCAATCTACTGGACTCAAACAAAAGTGAATGACTCATTCGGAAGGAGAATTTTCAATGAGAAAATGTGGAAAAATTGGTAAACATAATTATTGACGTGTAATTTAGACATTTAGTTTTAGCCAAATTTGAATAATACAGAGAGGAGGGAGAGCCTCTAGTGAAACGATATCGAAGAGGCTACTTTTCATTTTCTTCCAAATGAAGCAATTTTTTCCCCAAATAATTCGCCGCTTTTCTTTCCTCCCTCCTAAATTCACTCCTCATTCCCAGTCTCCTCCGTTCCCTCCCCGTCGTCTCTCCGATCGTCATGCCGAATCCCCACTATCTCCACGCGCCGTTACGGACGTCGCCGTCTTCTTCATCGTCGGCACAATCTTTAGCCTCCAAGCTGATCCTTCTACTCACAGTCCTTCCTCTGTCTTTAGCAGCTTTGGCCTTCGTTCTACAATGGAAGGGGGACGGAGGAGGACTCCTAACCGACCCGGCTTCCGCCACTGCTCGTTGGGCTCCACAGGGTTCTCATAACAACCACGAGGTGTTTCCGCGGATGGAAGCCTCCGCTGCGTCTCTGCTGTCTCCTAAACCACATCAATCGTCTGATTGTTTGAGTCTTGCAAGGAGCGGGTCTCCATCTTTTCCTTATTTCCGTGATTGGAAGTTCGATTTTGAGGCCAATCTGAGGCCCAAGGTACTGCCATCCAGTAATCCTTTTGATCCGTGGTTTCATTGCTCGTGCTTGTTGTGCACAGCCTGAGTTCACGGCCATGAACACTGAAACGCGTCCGTGAACTTCAATTGGGCGCCAAAACGCACCGCTTTGCTTCCTTGTGTTCACAGTCTACAACCCTTGTTCACGGTCTTAGTGACTGTGAACACGTCTTGCGTCAGTAACTTGCTTTTTGGCTCTGGACGCCTCAAATTTCATGGCCAATGGCTCTTCTTCACGGTCATGTAAGACCGTGATCTTGCCCTTTTTCACCTCTTCTCCCGATTTTTGATCCTTTTCGTCCAACTTTCGTCTCCGAGGCTGGTTTCACCTGTTAATTTCAAAACCAATTACCTTTGCTATCTTTCATTTTAATTAGCAAACCTTTAAGCCAAAACTTTGTTGCTAGATAATGATTTCAACAACCGAAGTAGGGGTAGACGAACCAGCCCGGGTCGATATCTAAATACTTTCCCTATACTGCACCCGACTAGAGTTTAAAAACTTGGGCTCTAGTTGGGATTTTATTGTGGTTTAGTTTCGAGCGAGTCAGTTGTCTTGTTTTTGCTCGGGGTTCCTTTAAATTGCTCATCTACTAGGAACTGCCATTTCCTTTTGTTCAACTTGATCCTCAGGTTTGGCTTAGGTTGGAGAGACTTTCAGCTTGCTCTCTTGAAACTTATCTTTGTGGTGATACTTGTGTGAGGATATACATTGTTGGGTGAGCTGAGGGTATGTACGGCTTCATCCTTCTTGTCGGCCAGGCTTGGGCCCACATGTTTCGGAGTCGTATAACTCTCGGTCAGTGTGGTATAGTAGGACTTCTTTCCTGCTATGTATTTGAAGTATAATTGATTGGTTGGTTGGCTTAATGAGATCTGAATGTTTTTATAAGTCTTGAGATTTCTTCATCAACTCATGGGTGAAAAGTTGAATAATCTGGTTCCTGGGTACTAAGACTTGCCCCCGAAGATTTGGTACTATGAAACAACCCGATCTTTTTGGACAAATCAAACCAAAATTTTAAAACAAAAACCGGTTACTCCGGAGCAACCCAAACCATGTTTTAAAGTCAAACCAAAAATCAACCAACGACAATAACCAAAAATCTCAAACGAAAAGCCCTAGACAGTTGGGCAAATCTCAATCCAAACACTTGAACAGAAAACCTGAGTTTCCTAGTATACTCATAGGACAAGAAATAAAGACAAATATGATAAAAAAGGTCCCATCTCAATACCTGATCCTTCCGACATCTTCAAGCTTGACGCGGCTGACCTCCTTGATTAATCTCCTTGTGCTGGTTATGCCCTCTTCCCCTTTCCACACCTGGTGAGTGAGAAGGGGTCAGTCTCGTCGTTACATTATAAGGTCTTTGCCTAAGCAAACCCTACTTACACATTATTAGAAATTACTTCCTCTTACATGAAAGTTGTTCTCGCTTTCATCCTATATTTTAGTCCCTGATAGCTTATAGAAGTTCTGTACTTCTATCTTAATTTATATACTTATTACTAGGGTTCACCGCGTTACGTATCGCCGTCCGGTGTCCCTATCCTCAAGGCAATGGTACTGCGCTACGTATCGCCGTCCAGTCCATGCCCGGTCAACTACTGCGTTACGTATAGCCGTCCAGTAGTGACCCGACCATCTACCGCGTCTAGTAATGGCACAACCGCTCGGGGGTTCATCTTACATACATACATCACATACATAGCACAACGCGTGCCTCCACCTTAAGTAGGCGGTGGGATGCCTCACACACATAATCACGCTTAATTAAAAAAAAATAACCAACATAACTGAATTAAAAGACATAAACTAAAAGACATCGACAGAGATTTTACCCCCTTTACACTCACCTCTCAAGTGCCGATACTTTACTTCCTTTGACGTGGGGTTAATTTGATCGCCTCCTTGATCATATAAATCGAGATTAAATTTCCATTAGTCGCTATACCGCAAAATTTTACGTTCTCCTCGCTTAGTCCCATAATTCTTAAAAAAGGCCTTAACTCGTCCTATCTAATTAAATAATCCTTTGCATAAATCTCATAAAAATTCTCATGAATTTTCCAAAAATCCCTGACCCCTCAAACTACAAATTCTGACTTCTAATAACTTAAAACATAAACCAAAATCATTAACTATAATTTATACCTCAATTACCCAACCTTCTTATTTAATAAATAATTTTTAAATCTATGCTACAAATGTCTAAATTTCTGGTTCTTGATTCCCCTACCCAAATTCAATATTCTAGTCTTGCACAAAATTAACAAAGTCATATAATATATACATATAATAATTAAATTAAATAAAACAAATATCACATAAAATTTTGTAATTATCAAATCAACTCGAAAAATCATCCAACAATTCCTGGACAAACATAATAGTATATGTCTTCGAATAAAATTATCAAAACCGGAAAACCGTTTGAACACTATTTTATTTAACTAAATCTGTCTTTCTAATAATTTTTTATAATTTGAAACTTATCTTCAAAAATTCTCGAATTAATATCCCAGACTTCTATCAGTTTTATATTATTTATAAAATTATCATCCTTTGAAAATACCCACAGTACACAACAAAAATAATAATAAAAATTATGAGAAAATATTGTTTTCGACCAATTGTAAATGCTTAGAACACTGGGAACAAAGCTGCTCGTACCAAAAATATGGGGGACTAACAGGGACATTTTCCACAGACTGAAATGATATTACTCTTTTGGTCCTTATACTTTTCGAATGGACAGATTTGGTACCTGAACTATCCTATTTGCATCCCAAACTTTCGAGGCTCGTATCTCCCTCCTCCAACATTGAAATTCGATTCCGTCGAAACCGGGGTGTTCCTGAGATCGTCTACTACGTGATGGTACCAAGGTTTTGAAGCTTGATTGACATCAATTGCGCCGTGATCATCGTCGAAGCTACGTTCATCACGAGGTTTGACGGATTAATCGGAGTTTAAACGAGCTCAAGAAGGACTGAGTTCGAGGTTCTCACCTACTTCCTTCCGAGAAGGGATGACTGTGTGCATTCCTCGAGCGGACGAGAAACGTTCAATGCTCGGCGTCGTTCGAAGGTCCGGTGTTGTCGTTTGGTTATCGCCGAGATGTTCGTCGGGACGGAAATGGATATTGCTCGCTTGTCTCGCTGGGAAGAAGAAGTCCGGTTGGAAGGGGTTCTTAGGTTTGTTTTTGGTTCCTGCGTTCGTTTCAATTATAGGGATGCTGTTGTGTGTTTATTGTTGAACGGAAGATGGGGGAATACATTGGAATTATTATGGACAGGGTAACGGGTTTGTAGGGGGGAGTTTATTGGTTTTTTTCTTTTTATTATTAAATGACTTGTTTGTCTTGAGATGGAAGAAACGAGAATGATGATGGTGATGAGAAGATGGTTTATGATAATAATAATAATAATAATAATAATAATTTTATTATTATTATTTCTAATCTTCGCTCGATCCTAAACTTTGTACGTAATCGTTGATCCAACTGTTCGGACGAACCTAAACTTCAAATGTCGGGGTGTAACATTTCCTCTACCCTTACAAAAAATTTCGTCCCCGAAATTTGAACTGTAGCATAATTACTTATACGATACAACGTTGCATTTGAAGGAATTGCTCTAGCCGGGATATAGCATTTCCCTTCCCCCTTCAGAAATTTCGACCTCGAAATTGTAGTCTAAACGGAGTGTTAGCTATAATGGAACATAACTGAACTACTGGATCTATTATTGAAGGGTTAATACCTTAGTTTGGCCCGAACTATACACATACTTTCTATTTTGGCCCGTGGTATTGAAAATTGCTACTATGGCTTGAACTATGTAGCAAACTTCCTCATTTGGCCTGGAGGCGGGTTTGACCGTCAATTTTCAATACCACAGGCCAAAGTAGAAAGTATGTGTATAGTTCGGCGCAAACTAAGGTATTAACCCATTATTGAAATATCGAGAAACAAGGGCTAAACGTGAAAGTACAAAGGTATCCACCAATTGGTGGTCTAAGCATCGTTAAACAACTCTGGATACCTCTCTCTCATGCTACTCTTCGTCTCCCATGTTGCAGCCTCGCTACCCTGGTTCCTCTATATCACCTTCACCATGGCAATCTTCTTCCTCCTCAACTCCTTTTCCTGCCTATCCACGATCTGGGCTGGGACCTCCTCATATGTCAAATCGTCCTCCAACTGGATGTCTTCATGCCTGATCACGTGCCCAGGGTTGGATCGATACGCCCTTAGCATGCTGACATGAAAAACATCATGGATCCTTGACAGGCTAGGGGGTAAGGCTAATCGATAAGCCAAAGGTGCCACACGTTCCAACACCTCGTATGGTCCAATGTACCTAGGGCTGAGCTTCCCCTTTTTGCCAAACCGCATCACTCCTTTCCAAGGGGACACCATAAGAAAAACTCTATCTCCCACCTGATGTTGGCGAGGAACTCCAGGCCTCTCGAGGTTACTCTTCTGTCGGTCCTGAGCCACCTTCAAATTCTTATGAATTAATTCAATCTTCTCCATGGCCTTTTTCATCATCTCGGGGCCCACTAATTTCCTCACTCCTTCAGCATCCCAATACAGCGGAGTACGACACTTTCTCCCATACAGAACCTCATATGGAGCTGCTTGTATCAAACTGTGATACTAGTTATTATAAGCGAACTCTAGCAGAGGTAAATGTTCATCCCAAGCTCCCTCCATGGTCATAACACAAGCCCTCAAAAGATCCTCCAGCGTCTGTATCGTCCGCTTGGATTGCCCATCGGTTTGAGGATGGTATGCAGTAGAGAAATGCACCTTTGTACCCATAGCCTTCTGCAGACTAACCCAGAATCGCGACGTGAAGCTAGGATCACGATCAGAAACGATACTAAGTGGCACCCCATGCAGTCTTACAATCTCTCTCACATACAACCTCTCCAACTCCTCCATCCCGGGCTTGAACCTGATGGGTATAAAATGGGCCACCTTCTAGAAGTGATCAACAATCACCCAGACACCGTCATTCCCCCTCGGGGTCCTC